CGGATGAGAAAATGCCACTCGACGTTGAGGGCATAGCATCTCCTTCATCGGCTTTCTCTTCCTGTGCATTGCCCTCCATTTCACTGCTCTTTGTTCTTGTCGGGGTTTTATTATCCAGATGTCTTGAACCTTTCAAGAAAACATCCAGAAATGAATAGACTTGTCAGGGCAAAAAGATTCAACTGTTTCCCCATTAATGGAGAGTTGCATGCAGTTATTTAGTGTTTCAGGGTGTAGAGAGGTACGATGTGTTGTCTTCACTCAGTTCATGCAAGAATATCCTCTCTCACAGATGGCTGTTGATGGAATAAGTGTCAGCATTAATTTCACCACCGCTCTTTATACACAGTTTGTGCGATTGCAAAATGAAAGTGAAAGCAAAAAACAAGTGAAAATTCAAACGTGATTTCAATACATCACATATTGAAAGAGGATCATTGATGCTAATGACATAATTACCCAGCTAAATTTGCAAAAGAATGCAAAAGCACTGACACATTTTTCCTTCCTATGATAGCCCGACGGGCAGGGCTGAGATAGATTTTAGTAGCCCGACTGGAAAAAACGCTAGCCCCGGAACGTCGGGCTAGCGGTTTTGCGTGCCCTGTACAGTCAGCTAATAACTAACTGGTAGCTTATTGACTAATTCTTGTTTTCCTTTCTCTCTTCTTTAGATCTTGTGTCACTGTTTGACCTGGAAAATGACCTTCCTGATGAGCTCATACCCAATGGAGACTTGGTAATGGGAATGTCCTCTAATGGTGGCCCAGGTGCTGGTCCTGGTCTTAACTCAGTGGTTCCTGATGCTGCTGCGAAGCACAAGCAGCTGTCTGAGCTCTTGCGACCGGGAAGCTCAAACAATTTAGGAGGTGGCCTGCCACAAGGAAGCATGGTGGGAAACCAGCTAGGTGGTGTGCATGGTAAAAATACACTAGGGCAGGGATCCCCCAATCACCAGTCTCCCCAGGGCCAGAAGGGAGGTCCAGGACAAGGCAATGGAAGTGCAAGCATGGGCTTCAGCCAGCCTATGGGCCAGGTTCATGGTGGCATGAGCCAGACAGGACAAGTGATTAATGGGGCTATGGGACCAGCAGGGCGAGGGAGACCTGGTCTTGGCATGCAGTACCAGGGCCAGCCCATGCAGGGGACACAAGTGGGTGCTGGAGCTGGAAGCAGTGTGGTGGGAGATGCACTCACACAAGGAGGGCCACAGATGGGTGCGCACAACACGATGAGTGCACAGCAAACAGGAAACATGAATAAGGTAAGGTTTGAAACTCTGCTCAGCTAGCTTGAATACCATATTTTTCAGATCATAAGGCCCGTTAAGCGAAACAAAACAACCAGATAAATGAGCTGAGTAAAGCTTGACTTTTCTTGCTTCCTCCACTTCCGTACCATTGATTCATTAATGTTGAATTCTCTCGCAGCTTCTCTGTTCACATGTTTTTGCAGTATATTAATGACTAACCTCGTGTTGTGAATGGATTATTTTAGCTGTTCTCCTGACTGAAGTTTGGTCCGTTTACAGCATCCTGCCATGCGATTGCATTTGTCGCTAACCCTCACATTAACTTTTATTGAGTGGAAAAAAGTTATCATTCATCCTCCAGCTTCACTATCGATATAACGATATGTATCAGATGACGATATAAAAACGTCTATCGTTTCATTTTACGCTATTGTTTGTTTCGTGGTGTCGCAAAATAAACTGTTTATGCCACTACAATGACCAATTGTAGTGGCAAATATTAATTTCCTAAAGTTCTCTCTTTCTCTTATATTTAATATAACCACACTACGGACGGACAAGTGCCTGTTTTTATGCGTTGTCGTTAGCAACAACGACAGTAAAACATCGCGTGTCCACTTGTTTATTTTCCACATAAACCTTTCACAATAAAGCTCAAGATCCTGTTGAGACTTTTCAAAATAAACTGAACCATGTGAAAGATTATGCAGTGTTTACGGATGAGAAGCAAAAAAAGAGCCGTCAGGTGCTAAAAAATAAACCTTAGACTCAAATGTTAGAACAGGCTTTTCCCCGCAGCACCCTGTGTAATAAATACTCACAAAGAAAACGGCGGACGTTACAACGTATGTCTAAAAATGTATAGCTTCATGCATCGGTTAATACACTCGAATCCAGGTACATGACGTGCAGCTGGAAACACTTCA